TGTAAAGCGCTACTATAACACAGGATGCGATCCAACTCAGAACTCATGCTTGAAGATAAACTGATCGATGTTGTAGATAAGTTTATGTGGAAGGCTCCAGAAGTTCCGAAGTCTGCGATTTCGGACAACTGTTTGAACTAATTTATGCCAATTGAATGGTTGGGCCGTCACCACTAACGCGTTATCCCTTACTCCCGGTGGGAAAAGCTGTTGAAGCTTAAAGCATTGTTCTTCGGAAAACGGTTTGTAGCTGAAAATTGACCTAAACTGAACTGAACTGGGGCATCCGCATTCAACATACAGCACATTGAACAAGATATGCAAGGTAAACAGTCCCCGTATATGTCAACTGCATGGATTTGCTAGAGTAATCTGTGGTGTGTGAGTGGAGCGTACGTGGGGAGTTGAACTATCGAGGAAGAAATATTCCTCCTGAAGACAGACTGGCGTGTCTAGTGATCACAAATCCAACGGGTTTGCGCGGGGTCTCGCAGACACCGGCTGTCAAATACAGATAGTCCTCGAAGTTCTGCACGTTGTGGCTACGTCTATGACCAACAAAGTAGGATCGTACCCTACCGCGATGACCAGATGGCTCAGAGGTTGGAGCGCGAATTTACTGATTTGAATGTCCTTGGTTTGAACCCGACATGTGTCCCTCGACTGCCCCTGTCTAGACTTGGACAACCTGACAGTATACCAGCCCTCTTGCTCCATTCTGGGGGCATGGCAGCTAGGCAGGAAAAGGTTTTGCGGTTGAACGTGATATGATTGTTTGTGTACCTGGGCGACCCATTCAGCTATGCTGCGGAGTGTCCATGCGACATCTGCAGATTCTCTCATACCGGGATGGTCGATTGTCAGAGGCCTGACGAACACAGTCTCCTGATCCTCCAGCTTGGGGGTTGGGACATGTGTGACGGTTTGTTCTGCAAACAATTGAAATGCATTTGCATTTCCAGCCAAACACCACTGTCTTGCGGTCACGCTTCCGAGCAAAAGGCTTTGGTCGACGACCCTAGTCGTTCTCCTGTTTAGGTGTGGGCGCCATGGCAGTGTCTCAGCCTACGTGCAGCCATGGATTTCACAAAAACAAATAAACTCATGCCACATCTGTTGTCGCCTGGTACCATCAGCCAGGTCACCTTACTTGCTGCACACGGCAGGGTGGGAAAGCGGAAACGGGCTACTGCTGATGACCCCCTTCTTTCTCTTCAACATAATTTCTCTTCCTCTCTCCGCACCCCGTTAATAGCTCTCTCTCTCCTTGTAAGGCCAGTAGTTAGAACTGATAACTCCATCCGCCTGCATCGGTGTTGCAAGCAACATCTGCGCGCTATCCGGCGACGACATCCTCAGGCATCTCGAAATCAATCTTCAAGCCGTGACGCCCAGTCTGTCTCGGTGTCCTTAGTTTCCGCACTCCGAGGCAAGCAGGACAACAAGCTGCTCTTGTCCTCACACCGGACTCGCGCGGTATTGATGCGTGCTGTGCATCAAAAAACAAGAATTCAGGATGCAAGCACAGTGGTTAAAACAACGGCCTCATCACTCTCCCTTCCATTGCAGATACGCCCGTCTGGCGATCCCGAGGCTGCTGCGGCAAGATGTGCAAAGGATGGTATCTATCCTTGTTTGTCGGGATACCCGTTGACAGTCGCCTCTGTGCGGTTGGTCTGGCAAAGTCGGTGAAGGAGTATCAAAAATTGAAATTTGATCGCTCTCTTGTGTCTGCATTCGCTCCAACCGACTGCAGTTCTGATACTGTCAAAGATGAGCTTTACGACGTCCTCAAGGCCCTGTTGCGGCAGGCTAGAAGCTCAGATGTTGTTGCGGTTGCCGGAGATCTAAATGCGCAAGTGGACAGGCTTAGCGCACCTGTGACTCATTTAGGTGGTCGACATGGGTCGTACCCGGTACGTACAGACAATGGTGAACGACTGCTCCATCTGAGGACTGACCGCACACTATTTTATGAAATACTAACTTCCGAAATAGCCGATGTTGTCTGGCCACAGGTGTCCAACGGCGTGCCAGCTATGAACTCACATTGATCACATTGCCGTCAATCACCGATGGTGCGGATCAATAACTCACTGCCGCTCGTTTTGGAACACATTTGTGGATTCCGACCACGATTTCGTCTGGAGTCGTTTGCCCATTTGTTTTCCATGGTCACGTAATATGCGGACAAATCGCGTAGAACCGAAAGGCTGACAGATCAGGATATCAGACGGATTTATCAGAATCCTCTTCTGGAGTCTCTTCCGGCTGCACCACTAGAGGTGAATTCATGCTACAACGAGGTCGGCACTTTGCACAGCGCTGTGAGTTTTGCCTGTGGCACGGTGTTGCCGGGCCCGCTCAGGCACTGCTTAAATATCAGAAGAACATCCCAGCCGGTCCCAATGATAACTTGGCTCGACGAATCACCAGACTTCAAATGAAAATGAGCGTGCGCGCCGACCCTGAGGTCTGGTGGACCCCGGTCTAGACGAAATTGCTGGCGTCACTTGTGCCTCGTGGCCTTATGGTAGCTGGTGAAACACTGACTGGAGAGCAGCAAACGAGACTCCGGTCTGGCAGGGGTTGCGTTGACTAAATCCTCACACTCCATCAGCTGCTAGGACAACGTCACACGTATAAACAGCCCACAATTTCAGTCCTCCTGGATTTCCAAGGTGTATTTGATTTGGTTGACCGGTCTGTTCTCCTTGACACACTTTCTCAGTAAGGAATGCTCTGGAAGCTTGTGAGAATAATAAGTTCTGTGCATTCTCACTTTTGGGCGTGTCAGGACTCCCCAAAAGCTCCCGTACACAAAGCGATGTCCGTCAAGAGTGTCCAATCCCTGCGTTCCTATTTAATTTCGTGATCGATGAGATACTGAGACGAAAGTTGGAAGGCCTTCAAAACCCCGGTATTCAAACATCTTCCAACGAAAACACTGTCGATTTGGAATATGCAGACGACATCGTTCTCGTCTTCGAAGAGCAAAAGGCGCAAGTGTTTTTGGATGCACTGACCAAAGTCATCCCGTCCTTTGGTATGCACTTGGCACCCACAAACTGTACGATCATGCTCCTGGACATGCAATCACTGAGCGCGCCACTTACAATCCAGAGAGGGGCGTTTTACGTATCTTTTTAGTTGTATTTAGCTCCGAGTGTAGTGGGATAGTGTTATCAATCGGAAGCGGATGCGATCAATGGCTACACGCGACCCGAGAACGAGCGCACGAGTCCAACCACTCCTAGCGCAGAGGGAGAAAAGAAGATCGATCCACGATCAGTGCGCGAATTTGCATGGCTCTGGTAGCGTCTACTAATTTGAGACACCTATTGCAGCAAAGTGATATACTATTCAGCTGTGACACCATTTTCCTGGCCCAGCTGCCATGCTACCAGAAGCAAGCACGAGAGCTGTGATACTGCAAGGTTGCCTAAGCCTAGATAGGGGGAGTCGAGATGACGTCTGGCTCGAAGGACGGACCTTCCGGTCAGTAACTTCGCGCTCCAACCACTGGGCCATCTCGTCTAGCAAAGAGATGTATCGCTGAATCTCAGGGGAGGTGTGTTTTAGGCCTGTTCGATCAGCGGAACTGAGATGTCTTCAGGTGTTCGACAGCCGTTGTCTGAGATGTCTTTCAGGTGTTGACAACCGTTGTCTCAGAACAATAGCTCTTGTGGATTGGTATCGACGAATCAGAAACGAAGCGAGTTTTCCGTTGTGCAACGGGGACTACCATGGAATAATGTATCCAGTACCGGAAACTGCGTTGGTCAGGCCATGTACTGCGTATGCCGAACTATCGTTCGCCATGCCCAATTTCGAGTAGCAGAAGCAGAGGTGGCCAACCCCGAACTATCGTTCGCCATGCCCAGTTTCGAGTAGCAGAAGCAGAGGTGGCCAACCCCTAACCTGACAGACGAGTTTGAGAAAGCTTACTCTGTGCTACTCGCCTTTCAGGATGGCGACTACGTGATCTCCACTGCGCCTGGTTGGGGACGCTGCAAGATATGGCTGCTAATCAATATCAGTGGCGTTCCTATCGTCTATTTCTATCCAGATTTCCTGAATAAGTGTCCGGAGGTGTAGGCACTTCGTACTGATTACAATAAGGCAGCGCGTAGTCCATTTCCTGTCCACCTTTATTCTTTCTTCACGATAAATCTTTCAAATAAATCATGGTTGTACGGCATCGAAGCATCGGTGTTGAACACTGATGTGATGCCAGGGGTAATACTAATTAAGTACTCTTACGCCTCAGTTGACATACTGACCATAGTAGCTCACAGCTGACGCCGTTCCTTTGAATTCATTTGTTTCACGTTTAAAACTGTAAACATTCGCCTTATTGTACTTCACTTTCTCGAGGCATAATTCCTAGTTCTGCCGTCAAGTGAAAAAGAACAGATTGGGAACAATATAACGCTCTTTACGGGAGGTGGCCCACTTCGAACTAGTGCAGATGTCATCTTGGGATATCCCCTAGTTCCTCGATCTTAATTCTATAGGCACTTGTACCTGGATATTAGCTGGAAATAGTTTGTATCGGCGGCACTTTAACTATTGTACCGAGTAATCACCAAGGTAAATACTTTTTTGTGATCATTCCTCGGACCTGCATCATGGAAGATTATGTGCGTAAGTCCCCTTTTTTGGGCTGTCACAACCTTCGAAATGACTTATCAGTTGGATATGGAGATATTTGGTAACGTTGACGCGCTGCTATACACCATCTGAATGCTTTCCAGTCTGTGATCCTAGTTAGTTGGGCCGGTAGTTTTGCGTCAAATTTCCCCTTCTACATGCATCTTGAGGACTATATCAGTTTCTGGTAACAATGAAGGCTGTTCCTTTCCGATGCCTTATTTTTACCAGCTGTCCATGTTTTATCGACTGTTTTCGATACCGCTCAGTTTGGAGACAGTTTGTCTGCTCATTTTCAGTTAAATTGGCTTGCAAGTTCAACAGTGGAGAGCCCATCACAGTGACTATTGTTGTTTGTCTTCTCTTTCTCTGGACCGTCAGCTATGTCCAAGCGCGGTGGACTTGGTGAAGTAAATATGGATTATCTTGCTTGTGATGTGATTTCTAGGTTCTTGACGAGGATAGGCAGAAGCCCTTGAAAATTTCAAAACCTTCTTTAGACAGTGATGAGGAGGACTACCAAGAAAGCGAATGCTTCCGGTTAAGGGAGGCTGATATTGACGGTATGTTTGCTTTCAAGATGATTGATTTCCTTTATATTTTAGGACAAGAAAACGCGACGCTGGAATACGACGATGGCATAAAAATCACTCCTTTTAACATGCGGGAGGAACTCGAAGAAGATGGGTATTTTGATGGGAACGGGAATTTCGTATTCAAAAAATCTGTACATACATTGGAGCAGTTTTAACTACTTGTTTCACAGGTTGATGCCAGAGACAACTGGTTGGAAGATATTGATTGGGCAGAAGTAAATAGAAATCAGACGACGAAAAAAATGACAGACACATCCATAAGTGATGATCCTCCTACGGTACCTGTAGTCAATGAACGGAAAACGGAAATGTATCAAGAACTACTTCGTTTTCTCCTACCAAAGGAAACAGTGCTGCGCAGCATTAAACGAATGGGTGCACAGTCCAATTCAGCAAATTCATCTTCAGCCAGTCAAAGATGGCTGAAGAAGAAACAGAAGACCACAACCCAAGAGAACCCGTAAGTCTAGCTTTGTGTGCGCTCTGTGTGCGCTCCAAGTGTACTAATAAGTAGTGTTATGAGATACTCCAAAAGTAGTCTTATACTGTACCTGGACGGGTGAGTAAATACAGACCAGCAGGACAGTTTTTCTGAATATCACCTCGAGTGCATTATTTTCCACATCGTGAGGTACTTAGTGTGATGGTTTTACTTATAATGTTGAATTAATAAACTAGCTGGTTTGCGACAGGCAACTTATGTCATCCGTTTTGTGCGTTATGTTCAGCTTTCTGTGTAGAATGTGAACAGGTTGAAAAAGCTTCTGAAGAATTCAGACCACCGTTTAAAAGCATGGCGCTTCCAATAATGTGATTACAGTGTCTCACTTAGTCTGTGAACCTTGGTTATTGTTTGAGGATACAACCATTGTGGTGATATCTCGGATTGCCGCCCTCTAGACGGGCGCACAACTTGGTCGTTTGTTATGATCAAAATCGTGAGTCGAAAATGAAGCCTAGGCGGTCGATAAGTTCGTCTATTCCTTGCCTAAATTGCACGACACGATGCGTTGACCCATGTATCCATCTGTCCCCCATTTCTTCTTGGAGGACAGACACGAATCGTTGCACGTCGGTAAAAGCTGTAATTCGTGAATTAAACCTATTTTGGCTGCGGACGCTCGACTTCTTTTCTACTAAGAAACTGATCCGCTTCATAATGACCCTCCATTTAGTGTAGAGTTGATCTATTGATCTTTTGAGTCGGACAGTTAACCTGTTCATGTTTTGAACGCAATTTTGCCTGTTTTATATCTTGTATAGCGGAGATCCTGAAGGCTTAATTAGAGTCACCGAATTGGCCGACCAGCTCCTCCAGGCCGGTGAGTTCGACGTCTACCAGCTATCTCGTGAATCCATCGAGCGAATAGTCAACAAAGCCAGTGAAACGGGCATGGACGACGAACTGGAGGCTTTGGGACAAGCCTTCGATAAGAGTACCGAAGATTATAATAAACCTGCTTCAACCGACAATTGTGAGTTTTGTTCACCAAAAGAACCTTGCTACAATAAGCTTCCAATCATTCTCTATTTTGAACGCTCGCAATTTCAGAGTATTTCTATACATTATTCCGAGGTGCCTACACCTACGGACACTCATTCAGGAAATCTGGATAGAAACCAACGATAAGAACGCCGTTGACATTGATTAGCAACCATATCTTGCAGCATCCCCAACCAGGCGAGTGGGGATCACGCAGTCCCCATCCTGAAAGAGCGAGTGGGGATCACGCAGTCGCCATCCTGAAAGGCGAGTAGCACCGACAGTATCCAAACGTTTCGTAACCTCTTTCAAACTCGTCTGTCAGGTTAGGGGTTGGCGACATCTGGTTCTACCACTCTGAATTGGGCACGGCAAACGATAGTTCGGCATACGCAGTACATGGCCTAACCAACGCAGTTTCTGGCGCTGGATACATTATTCAATAAAGATCCCCGTTGCACAATGGAAAACTCGCTTCGTTTCTGATTCGCCGATACCAATCCACAAGAGCTATGGTTCTGGGACAACGGCTGTCGAACACCTGAAGACATCTCAGTTCCGCTGATCGAACAGGCCTAAAACACACCTCCCCTGAGATTCAGCGATACATCTCTTTGCTAGACGAGATGGCCCAGTGGTTGGAGCGCGAATTTACTGACCGGAAGATCCGTCCGTCGAGCCAGACGTCATCTCGACTCCCCCTATCTAGGCTNGCCCTCGTGCTTGCTTCTGGTGGCATGGCAGCTAGACACAGAAAATGGTGTCACAGCTGAACGAGGTGCACAAACTGTCACATAATCTTTTACTGCAAAATCTTGGAGATGGTGGCCCAAATTTACTTGATACTGGTGTGCTTTACCTGCCATTGTGGTATAGCTTGCTGTATTTACCATTATCCAAATCAAGTCAATACAGTTCATTTATAGATCTTTATACATGCCCATTGTGAGTCCGACTCAGTTACAGTCCAATTTTGTTGGTAATAAATGACATCGTGTTCAACTTCTGAGCTGTTTCCGTCACTTCGAAAATGACTGTTTGTCGAGGTGTTAAGCTCACACGGTTGCTAGAAATGACTTTCTGTAACCCTTTCTTTACACACCAGTCCTTTTATCCATTTGTAATAAACAGCCTTGGATGTCTTACGAGTGGTGGGGGACTCTGACGACCACGGGCGCTTTGGGTCTCAGCTTTTTATTTGTCGTCAGTTGCTCAAAGGAACTCCGGGTTGCTCAGTGGTTAAGGCACGAATTTATTGACCGGAAGGTCTGTGGTTGGAACCCAGCAGCACCTCGACTGATCCTGTCTAGGCTCAGTCGACCTGTCAGTATCTCAGCCATCATGCTTCCTTCTGGCAACATGTTAGCTATGCACCGGGGGTGTGTTACAGCTGAACGATTATGGTGTCTATTATTGTTGCTTAACTTAACAATTATGAGTCACCAATCTAGCATACTGATGGCTTTAGAACTGTTCCGTCCTGTCAACCCTCCAGTCTTATTCCTGTCGTGGTTAAATTGGGTGTGAGAGGGCTCAGCGTAAGCCAACGATATTCGAGATATCGTGGTATATTTTCTTGGTGGAACACCATACTCATGAAAATGTCAAAAGCTCTCCGACAACCCACGATCGGTTTCGGATTTCTTGAGGAATACACTCTACCTGACGATTCCCTAGGTAGAAACCAGTTGTCAGCTGTTGATGGGTTTTCAGCAATTCGGTTAGCTTGGGCGGCAGCTTGGTGTGATGACCTACTACTCCCTGCCTATTTACTCTTAGGTGCGCATCGGATGCGGAGTGCTCGCTTAGCTGCACACGCGGCTCCTGTCAAACCGCATGCATCACCACCGACCGCAGTTTGGTGACGTTCGGCATACGTCAGTATGGCAAGCGAATCCGGATCTCAGTGCCAACCCATCGTGTGTACGAGTCCGATTTGATAGATTAGCCCTAGAAAGATGGGAGTGCTGATGTGTGTGTGTGCTGTTAGTCCTGTTTCGTGCCCTAGTGCTCAACCCACCTTTAAGGTCACCTGAATGGTTAATTATGTTGCTGCTCAGCGTTGGTCACATTCCTTGTTGTTCATCCCATCCATTTCAAGGCAGTTACATAGGATCTGTTTCGATTTGGCTTGGTTGCGAATATCGTAACTATCACTACAGTGTACAGTCTCTCCTGTTTCACCGTACTAGCAAATACGGCTAGTCCATTTATTTACGCAATTAAATAATGTAACCATTACCCCCCACTCTTTTCCTCTTTTCGTTCAGCAACCAGGGATAACCCTGAGAATGGAAGCCAGCCTGAAGATTCCGAAGTTACTTGGCATCTGAAGTACTCCGATTCCTTAGACTCCCCACCAGAAGGCCCCTATACTACCAAGCAGCTTCGAGCCTGGGTGGAAGCCGGCAAATATAAGGACAAACCTATTGTCCTAGTGCGCCAGGCCAATAAGCCGGACGGACAGTTTTACAATATTCGTCGAATCGACTTTGATCTCTACGAATGACGCTTGTTTGTATATTTCATCTTGTATAGCAACCTTTTTTTACGTCTCAGTGTCATTTTGATTTCTCGGTAAGCCTATACAGCTGTTTTGGGGTGGGTAGAGTATACTAGGTTTCTGAGATATCTTAATCAATCCTGTATAGCTACTCAGTTTAGTGTGTACTGCTTATTGGATTTTTCCGACTGTGCTGTGCAGGAGATGGCTCAAGTGGTTAGAGCGTGAATTTACTGACCGGAAGGTCCGTGGTTCGAACCCGACCTCTGCCACTCGACTTCCCCTGTCTAGGCTTGGGCAGCCTGACAGTATCTCAGCCCTCATGCATGGCAGTTAGGCACCGAAAGGGTGCTACAGCTGAACGATTTTACCTCATCGGATCATGCAGTGTGCCAACCCGGCGCATCTATCGTTGGGTTCTGAAGCCTGGATCATTCAGCTCTGTTTCGTACGGTTGGCCTACTGCATCGGTGTACTACCCAGTCAGATCATGGTCTAGGCGGCTGGGTCCTCTCCAGCTGACGCTGTTCCGACCGCAGTTGAGCAGAGATGGTAAGCCTGCACATCCAGTGACGGTCGAAATTTACCCTAATCTGCACGTGTGCTCGAATTTGACTGGGGCCCGTGCGAATTGACACCGTTCATAACTGCACTCAATCATTACAGATTTCCGAATTCTATGCGGTTCCATTGACGGAGGAAGAGAGGTTGAGGCTGGTAGCCATATATTACCACCTGAAGAGATATTTCGGAGCAGCCTACAGGGTCAGTGTGAGCCGTTGAAATCCGGTCGTGGTTGCTCGGATAATAGTCAGGAGATTCTAAAGCTCCCGGAGACAGAAAATCTGGCTAACGAGGAATGGCTTCGAAATCTAGAACTATTTTGTGATCAATGGGGTTCGCGAAGTGTTTCCAGGATGGTCTGCCGCTACTCAGGTGGAAGTTATACTTATTGGGTGAATTTTATTTTTCCTCCGAGCTACTCATTGGTTATTGATAGTGTGAATGTATTTGGGAATAGAGGAGAATGTCGGTAGCTCAAGTGGCGTAGATGGTCGTTGGCTTGTTCGCTGAGCTGGGCAATTTAGCTGCACAACCACTAACCGACCGCTACGCACAAGTATTTGGGAATATTTAATGAAGGACCGGAAGTTGACAAATACGGGTCATTTTTCATCAATATGACCCGAAAACCATGACTGTTGAAAAATCAGTTTCTTCAGTCATGGATGACTTCAAATAGAAGGATTCATGAGAAAAAATGAAGTGGCCTGAATTTAATAGTAGTGTCAACCGGAACTTACTTTTTGTTAGGCACTATGGTGAATGGAAATACAGTTTTGCAAAAGATTAAGCAAACATACTATACTATCAATACTCACTGCATGAAATTGCATGAAAGAGCATAATACAGTGGTTTTTCACTCATGAACAGATTATATCTGTGTACAACTCCATTCTTAGGTAATGAAAATGGGTGCAGCGATTGAGTGCTCACGTGTTTACAACTGCGTGTTCTCAATCGGCACTTGATATCCCAAAGTTTCTGCCACCGTGAACCTCAAGTTTACTCCAACCACTAAATTATGTAAACTTACTGCAGTGAATGGCGTCGACCATACATAGACGTAATACACTGCTCGAGATTGCTGAAATCTCTTCGACCAGTTTTGCCCTTTTTGAGGCTCTTCAGGTAGACATAGTTCGCGAGTTTCCTCTTGTCCTACTTGGATCCAAGGTGCATGAGATTAGGCCTGTGCACTCATCTGCATACCAATTTGATTTTGATGGGAGACTCACCTGGAACCAGGTGAATCTCCGTTTATGGTGTCCACGTAGACCTGAATGTGCTGCACCTGACCGTCTCATGTTTCAGTTGGTGCGATATTCAAGATATCGCCCTGAACAAGACCTTCCCCACTTATGGGAAAATTGAAACGGCACGAGTTCACACCATATAACATAGTAGTAGACTAGCGAAATACACTCATTTGGTTTTGCGAAAAGCTCACTTGGAACCCAGCTGAATCGCTCGTTTGTGATGTTTCCAGGCAGCTGAATTTGCTGCACCAGGCCCCAAGAAGGGCGAAACCGGTCGTGGGTTGTCGGAGAATTTTCAGCAACCTTATGAGTATTACATTAGTATTACATTGTTCGCAGTTTAATGGTAGAGAAGCAGTGAGTGGTTTTATGATCCCTTTCCGACTTACTCATGCACAATATTTCCCACAATCGTTAGATTTCCACAGCGTCCGGTGAGCTCAGATGTTTGAGAAATAGAAATAGGCGGAAACAAGAGGAGTCCTGTACGGTAAACTGGCCTTAGGAACACCAGCTAGTCTGTGAAGGACATATACCTACATTACGTTTCAAAAAAGCCTTTCGAATTTGTCCGTTTTTGGAAAACACGAGGTGGATGCACATTCACGTTGAGCCAGTTGTATAGGGAATCCAGGGCCGCATCGTTCACAGGTTATATGGATGACTTTACAGTCTGACTATAACGTGCTCAGATAATGTGGACGACAACCATACACTTCCGCTAAGTTTCACGGACGCCAACCAGCCTAACCTCTTGGAATCATCGGTTCACCTGTTCACCACTACTTTACACAAAGATTTTTACCTTCATGAAATGTTTTATAACCTTTTAGCTTCGATTAGTTTGGCGTCGAGAATTCTCTCCGGAAATTGCTTCCCTGTCCTACCATATTGTTTTGATTGATGAAACGACGCGGGAAAATTACTGATGGAGCAGCGTGCCACGCTTTTCTTATCCACAGAAACTCTGAACACAGAAATTCTTAAGAACACGCTTAAAGTAGTTTACAGTCAGTATTCTTTCCTGATGAGCTTGCGTGAACTAGATTCATTGGATGAGGCTATTTAGAGGAAGATCAGATCATTTCTATTTTATGTACTACTATGTAATCGCTAAACACGAGCACTCAAGCCTTATCCGGATAACAGACGTTCTGCCTGAATTGACTGTCACTGTAATGCCTAGATCATGTACAATTTTTAGTTTGCATTCAGTGATCTAGAATAGACCTGAAGGACCTCAAGCAGTATGTCCCACCACCCAAGCATCACCGGTGAGGATTTTCAGGACGCAACACTAATCAACGTTGCCGAAAACTCCAAGAGTGCACAATGATCTGGCCGTCCTTGGAGCTCACTAAGTAGGTTCCAACCTCGTGTTCTACTTGAAGGCAAATAAGAAGCGACTGGCGAGATATACCCCCTTTCAGATTACTTTGGTGATAACAGGAGAGTCAACCGAACCTCAATTATGAGTAAAGAATGGAATATCATTCAGGACGGTCTTTATGAGCCTCAGACAATGGTTACTCTATGGATCCGGGTGTCATCTAGTTAACTTTGGCAAGACTTCGAAATCCTGTTTGGGCCGAAAATACGCAAGGATTATAGTCTACGGCGGTCGCACTGACTGTGACTCGGTCCATAACGTGGTAAACATAGGTAACAGTCTAAGTATCTGTGAGCAAACAGAAACATAGATACTGCGGTCGAACAGAGGTGGATAGGAAATGCAAACGGCACACTGATTGCTACGCAAGCGGCAATTCCGTCCCTACATGAAACAGGTCCACTACTAAACGGAATAGTTACAATAAACAACCGAGCCGTCAGAACGCTTGCTTGTTTGTGGATAGTTGCGTGATTTGGTCAGATTGTACCCACAGTCAACCCCCGCCAAAATACAACTAGTCCGTTCCATCGACAGCAAAGACGAACTACTAGACTTAATCTTTCTCGAAAAAGTTTGGTGACAATCGGTAGATTTATTGCTGGGCAACGTTTCGCTTTGACACAAAAGCTTTGTCAGGCCAAGTGACTAGGTTGGTCGAGATTTAAGGCGGAAGGAGAACCAATCAGCTAAGTCAAGCTAAATCTCTGTTGGGTGTCGGCCGAGGGATTTTAGTGTGTTAGAGTGGTTGAACAAGTGTTGGGTCGGTGGGGAAACCTACATGTGTTTGGGTCCAGCCTAGGGTCTAGTTCTTCTGGTTCGGTTCATTTGATGGTTCCTCTTGAACTTCGTTTGAACCTTCTGTCGACCAGTCTAACACACTAAAATCCCTCGGCCGACACCCAACAGAGATTTAGCTTGATTTAGCTGATTGGTTCTCCTTCCACCTTAAATCTCGACCAACCTCGGAACCTAGTCATTTGGCCAGACGAAGCTTTTGTATCAAAAGCGAAACGTTGCCCAGCAATAAATCTACCGATTGTGACCAAACTTTTTCGAAGACGATGACTGCCCAATCAGTTCCAAGTATCTTTCACGTGATTAGACTTAATCTTGTTATTACTATGGACGACCAATGTGTAATTATTTATCGGTAGTGCTGGCTGCATCAAAGGACACCGAGGAGGTCCGAAAAGTTCACCTTCAAGAAAACCGGCAGTTTCATAGACACTTACGAAGGCACTAAAGAATGGCTTTTCGCGCAGAGAACCCGCCTCCGCAACCTCACAACACGTGAAAAATGCAGACGGTGAGAAGCAATACAGTCGACGTTGGCACCTACACGCTCAAACACAATACTGTGTTATGCAGGCCTTCCACTGCTGTATAGTAATTAGCAATTTGATTTTCGGACCCAGTTGACAATTAAACCCACCTGGTCAATTAATGAAAACCAACAAATCAGCTGATTCCCAATTTTTCCACAATTAAAAAAGTAAAAAAGATCACAGTACAAAATTATCACGGTCATGAAGAAAATACATCCAGTCCGGAATTCACAAAGGTGCCGATTTTCAGCCACAGGTCATTATTCAGAGGTATCGCAGATCTTGGAAGTTTCGGAGAGGGGCACTGAAACCGGAAGAGATTGTATGGTGAAATCGGGATAAGTCTGTTCAATCTTAACTTCTGATCATAGGCGTAGCTAGTAGCAACATACAGACAAGAACACTAAAAGAACAGGGTTAACGCTGTCTCAAAAAGGAAGTGTCCGTGCGTTCACCAATACAGAGTTATCATAAGACAAATGAAGACTGCCAAAGGATTAATTCCACTTTGAAGAAAACCTGCCACCTCATCCCGACCTACAGGACATTCTTAGCACGAGCCAGTTTTTCCAATCCGCCTGGCTCACGTGTTATTTAATGTNATATATATATATATATATATATTGACAAAAAAGATCGGCATCTCCAAGACCACATTTGCTTACAATATCTCTCAAAAAGACCGTTACCAGCCGAACATTACTACACAAAACCGACCATATGTACTCTGGGGTCACCGTTCGTATAAGGTGTAAAGTGGTCATCTGAGTGGCCCATGAAGTCGCTTTTCAGACTTGTACAATTCAAAACGGACTGGTAGCGCTTTGCGAAGCTATACTGACCAGCTCTGGATGACCTATATTAGGCACATAGATAGTACTGAGCACAAACTCACATTTTCTATCCTGTAACTGGCCCTATCTCTTGTAAGACAACGCTTTTTCAATGCGTTTTGTCACAAATACTTTATGCACGAAGAATAACACCTTCCCGCGCGTGCTAATGATAATAAAATAGACGACAAGGGTTACATAGAAATCCAATCCTGTCCAAAGTCCAATAATAAGATTGATTTGGCGGCATTCCATCCAAGCAAGGTGGAAAATGGTAGTCAAGCAGTGAGCACCATCCACACATACATGGTGATTATCGAGATGAATACGATGGATCGGTTGTTGAACGCGTGAATTTCACGAACAAGAGTACAACAATAATTCAGCTGGGTCACCTATCAAGCGTATAACCGACAATATCCAAAAAGCACGTCGTTAAAAAATAGAAACAGATAAAAGAGTGTCGCGAATCTTCCACTCAGGGGTTCAAACTTACTATTTTACGTAAGGCTCAGAAAGCCTGACAATGAACAGTCTTGGACATAACGAGTGTTATGCATCAGTAAACCAGGGGGTCCGTAATTATCATAGCCCACTAAAAGGAAGCGTAGTCTATGAGTATACCACTAAGCCAAGTGTCAGTGGGCGATTACATGTCGCGCGGTAAGAACATCCAAAGGTATGGACTGGAACGTAGCGACTTAGTCTGACGGAAGATGAATTCGGTTCTTTTCATGTAAATGCATGTGGTAACCATTTATTAACTTTGTATTCCTCCTTCAATGTGAACAAACTCCAAAGACGCACTGCTGTCAATCTATAAAACTGGTATGGTTTTATAGGTCAATGAACGAGACCTCTCGCAGCAGACCTAAGAAATCGAACTATACTGACCGGAAGTGCGAACGTTTTTAGGCTGTATTAGCAAACACTACTGACCGGAACGATTTCACATAGTTATCCGTCTTCGAAGAGACCGCCAACCAGAACCATCCCATCTGTGATGGAGTGATTGAATTCACAATTGGATGGTGTTTTAAGAAATCGATCGAAACTGTTCTCCAGAAATCAGAAGAGTAGTGAGTGAATTTGACTGGATTTTTAAGTCTGTTATCGACGAAGCGACATGTGTACCGTTTTCAAGACGAGAGCCAGCAGCCAGTTTGTGGCCGTTCACTCAGGGGTTCGAATCGGAAGGCCACCGTGTTAACCACTGCGCCATCCAGGGTATAGAAGCCGATGCTAGTTAGAAACCTCTAGCCCAGTATTTTTTCAGCTCCTTGTCAGCATTTATCTCAATTTCCAAAAGGTGCACATTGAAATCTTTCCCCTGCATGTTTCCCTAGAGTAATCAACACTCTTTTGCAATCACTTTTGATCGGATCTACTAAATTTCTGCTACGACCCCTATGGAATAATTCCCACATTTCAGTTAGCAACAGCTAAAGAAAGTCGGTCATCACGTTATCATCTACAACACAACCTCACTAAAGTTGACAAATGAATGTCATGTCAGATTGACGCATATTTAGACTCAAAGGAAATCAAGCGGTTACACCAGTCCCCACAAGGTTCATACATCCTAGGCGGTAATTTTCAATCGCTGCACCCAGGAGATACTGTGAGAGATTTATCATACAACAATTTAAAAAGCATTCGCGTACATATACAAGTTAATCTGTCAATTGACAGTCAACCTACAGAATTTTTCTGTTCAGTGATGTGTTCCGGTGTACTGAAAGGATTGGTGTCTAACTGGTCCAAGAGACTACGTATCCGTCGTACGGGAAAGAGGTGAGCCTGTGTGCTGAACACGTAGTCCAGTTCGTTACGATTGACGGGATTCGACTCGTCGAAGAGCTGAACGGTAGAGTAAATACTCTGTTTGACGGAACATAATAGCATCCACATAAAACGAATCGAAACACTTGGAAAATAACTGACTCAAAGGTAACTGCAGTCAACTTGTGTAATTACTCGCCCAACGGGATAAATCAGGCCGCAGCCCTGTATGGAAGTGATTCAGTTGGTATGAACATATGGAATACTGTAACAGACAGGTAATGGTGGCTATAGAATAAAGTTGATCCGAGACATACATCCTACTGGTTGCCACCCACGAGAACGTGGGTGAGCCAAAAGTCAATAAGTAAGGCAGGTGTTTATTACATTATGGTGTAATCCGAGTGAAGTGAGGCTGCGAGAACCTGACAGTCTCTGAATCAAGTCTAGTGCCTAACAGTACAACATGGAGTCCATTTTTAAGTGAACAAATGCAGTGAGCATTATACCAGAGGAAACAGGAAATACTGGGTGAAAGATGCGAACACACTTCTTCAAAATTGGAAAATCGTTCAGCTGAAATAACCACGTCGCTAGACAGTAAGTTTGTGAGACGACTAGGCCATGCATATGGCACTAGTTCAGTCATTAACGCAAGTGAATGGCATTTAACAAAATCGTCGCAGAGATAAATAAGTATCGAAAGCGTTCAGCTATAACACCCTTTCGGTGCCTAGCTAACATACCACCCGAGGGAAGCACGAGGGCTGGATACTGCCGGGTTGCCCAAACCCAGACAGAAGTCGAGATGCAGAGGTCGGGTTCGAACCACGGACCTTTCGGTCTGAAAACTCGCGCTCTAACCATTGAGCTACCTCGCCTCGATAAATAAGTATGGTAGTGGAATAAGGTATTTTCCCCACGTTAAGATACAAGAGATCCTTTATCGTATTGGTTAGTTTTAGGTGGTGCGGTTTACAAGACGAGATATTGAAAACACCTCACCGGGTCAAGTCTTACAATAAATCTGGCCATTAGCATTAAGGCGGAGTCTAAACCCATCCGGCTGGATCACAGGAGACAATAAAACCTATGATCGTCTGGCCGCCGGTTGACTATCGTGTATTTTGTTCTGATGGCCGGCGGCAAGGAATCAGGGAAGCTGCTGGCGAGGCACGTAATAAGTTCCCCAGCCATTCTATGTACCACAGTAAGATGATCAACAAAGGAATTATTTTCCACATATCGTTGAATGAGCCTAGTGCAAGTACATGCGTTTTCTTCTGGAGAACGCCAATACTACTTTGTCTAGAAAACCGTGCACTTGCGCGCGACAATCGCAAGTTTTAGGATATTTATCCCTCTATAATATGGATACCTCCTTGGTGCGACCGAATCTCTGGCTTTTAAGGTCGTAGTAGAGGATTACCGTAATGCGAACTTATTTATCGCACCTCAACCGAAGTAATAAATGCTAGAAAGCAGCATCATTTAATAGTTCTGATTGTGTCCCACCCAAGATATCTGTGTCCAGACCGTCCGCGATCCTACAGAAGTACGCAGAACAGTGCTGCATCGAATGATCCTAAACGAATAAAACAAAAACTGTTAACGCATACGGCAAAAGTTTCACTGTTTCAATCCAAATCATCATCCGTGAGGTCCGTACCGTTCAATTCCCAAAATTTACACTCAGTGTTTTACACTACCTTTAGTGAATTCGAACAAACGACCCAGGTTACAGGCCAACCGTGCTAAGGTGATAGTAAGTTATTTCCATGTGTTCCCAATATTGTCAGACTTCCGATAATATGTGACTTGACGGATAGTAACACACGTTTCAGATGCCTCCACAGATAAACCAATAAAGTGAGGACACTTCGCGAACTAAAAATTGTTCGGAAGTACCAGACCGTCCACCTGTGATAGGGGAGATAGTGTGTTAGGCTTTATTGCCTGCATGTAAATTAGAAGAACGGAAATGAGGATAGTGTACTGGCTGCTCTCAAGAAGTACCTAAATTACGTCGTCCAGAACGAGACGATTAGGTGTTCCAGTAAAATCGAAAACTACAATATAGAGACGAACGGGTAGTGAGATATGGAACTTCAGCCTGCAAGTGACTTCAATCCACGCTTTAAAGGCGGACAGGCACTGGACAGCAGTAACATCATTTTGATATCCATCAGAAGTGCGTGTATATGGTGTCGTGCTAAGTTATGGGTGTGAATCAACTTAAAGATTCGTGAAATTTTCGCAGCCGATGACTCCCGAAAACCATCATTAGATATCGCGATAGTTCAGACGTCAATGCGCATGAAATTCACTCGGTGCATTAGGGAGTTATGGGGAATTATAATAGAAAAGAGAGTAACTCGAAATTCGTTCCAGTACAGAACAAACAAACTGGTGGGACGCTTGAAACGACTACTTCCTAGCTGGGATCCAACAAGAAGTGTGATAAAGGAGAAGTAGGTATTACAGCTGGCCGCAAGCCGGAGGTTCCGGCGATAATCCTTCCAATACTCAATAACCGTTGTGGACGTCAGTCCTCAATAGTTCTCTTCCATTGAGCGATTCACGGATTTCTTACTACGTGTTACAGGAAATTCCCGGGCACCTCGACAGTGTGTCTGAGATCAAAAGATGTATAGCGTCATCAAATATGATGTAGGCAATGAAAACAATGGGATACTTACCAAGTAAAGATATTTGAGAGTTTCACTAAGAAAAAAGCTTTCCATTCGATCTTCCTGAGATTTGTCGGCCACGTTGTGGATGGTCGCAAACCCACACCTAAACAAACAATACAGGTTTTGCCTTTGAGTAAGTGTAAGCATTATGAAAACATATACACTGTACTAACAGATGTGGCAACAACAACCCCATCACAACTCTGAATCGAAGCGTGTTCGTTCGCAAAAGACACCTATACAGCGCCACGTACTAAATCTACGGCTAAAACATTTAGAAGGCTAGTTGCTTGTAACATCAGTCACAACGATGGTGAACCCACAAACAGGATGTCATAATTGTTCAAATCAACACCATGAACAACGTCTGGGTCCAGTAATGTAGTACAGAATATACCATCAACCATGATGTGGGCTCATTTCGACAAGGGACAAGAGCACTTAATGGTAGTTCTTTAATCCTGTGGAAATCACTGTTTTTTACCAGACTGAAAAAATTTTCGCCTAAAGTTTTGTAGGATGCAAGAACAACGTCTACGAACAGGCGTTACCTGAAGAGCGCTCACACTTTGAACAAGTGTACGACTGTCTAAGTCTGCGGATTACGCATTTAGTTGAACCGATCACTTGACCTTCGGCTTATTCGCCGAGTGGAGAAACTTGTCTCCAAACGCCTTACCATAAACTGAGATGATCTAATCGGTGCATCGCTGTGAAGTGGAGCAGTGCGGTACATCAACGGGTGTGCTGGGTAGCAGTATGAGTCCAAGTAGGTACCACTAGTAAGACTAACCACTTGACCTGAGATCGCATGAAAAAGCGAAAATTCAGCACTCGTTACCATATTGTCATCATCCCACTTCAGGTCGTTCAGTAAATCATTGTTAGCATTGTGTACCGTATGTCCTACAGCGCTACAGCCCCGCACTAGAACACATGTGAGAACTCAGCCACCCAATGTGAATCGATCGGATATTATCCACGAAAACAGGCTAAGTTCAACGTTCAGGGGTGCAGTGCTGGTTCGTTACAAAAGACCTTCAATCACATGACGGTTCCAAGGAATAAGAGCCATTTATAATATTTGATTAACTTCTGATAGTAAACCNTGGTGGGACGCTTGAAACGACTACTTCCTAGTTGGGATCCAACAAGAAGTGTGATAAAGGAGAAGTAGGTATTACAGCTGGCCGCAAGCCGGAGGTTCCCGCGATAATCCTTCCAATACTCAATAACCGTTGTGGACGTCAGTCCTCAATAGTTCTCTTCCATTGAGCGATTCACGGATTTCTTACTACGTGTTACAGGAAATTCCCGGGCACCTCGACAGTGTGTCTGAGATCAAAAGATGTATAGCGTCATCAAATATGATGTAGGCAATGAAAACAATGGGATACTTACCAAGTAAAGATATTTGAGAGTTTCACTAAGAAAAAAGCTTTCCATTCGATCTTCCTGAGATTTGTCGGCCACGTTGTGGATGGTCGCAAACCCACACCTAAACAAACAATACAGGTTTTGCCTTTGAGTAAGTGTAAGCATTATGAAAACATATACACTGTACTAACAGATGTGGCAACAACAACCCCATCACAACTCTGAATCGAAGCGTGTTCGTTCGCAAAAGACACCTATACAGCGCCACGTACTAAATCTACGGCTAAAACATTTAGAAGGCTAGTTGCTTGTAACATCAGTCACAACGATGGTGAACCCACAAACAGGATGTCATAATTGTTCAAATCAACACCATGAACAACGTCTGGGTCCAGTAATGTAGTACAGAATATACCATCAACCATGATGTGGGCTCATTTCGACAAGGGACAAGAGCACTTAATGGTAGTTCTTTAATCCTGTGGAAATCACTGTTTTTTACCAGACTGAAAAAAATTTCGCCTAGAGTTTTGTAGGATGCGAGAATAACGTCTACGAACAGGCGTTACCTGAAGAGCGCTCACACTTTGAACAAGTGTACGACTGTCTAAGTCTGCGGATTACGCATTTAGTTGAACCGATCACTTGACCTTCGGCTTATTCGCCGAGTGGAGAAACTTGTCTCCAAACGCCTTACCATAAACTGAGATGATCTAATCGGTGCATCGCTGTGAAGTGGAGCAGTGCGGCGCATCAACGGGTGTGCTGGGTAACAGTATGAGTCCAAGTAGGTACCACTAGTAAGACTAACCACTTGACCTGAGATCGCATGAAAAAGCGAAAATTCAGCACTCGTTACCATATTGTCATCATCCCTTTCACCATCCTACTTCAGGTCGTTCAGTAAATCATTGTTAGCATTCTGTACCGTATGTCCTACAGCGCTACAGCCCCGCACTAGAACGCATGTGAGAACTCAGCCACCCAATGTGAATCGATCGGATAGTATCCACGAAAACAGGCTAAGTTCAACGTTCAGGGGTGCAGTGCTGGTTCGTTACAAAAGACCTTCAATCACATGACGGTTCCAAGGAATAAGAGCCATTTATAATATTTGATTAACTTCTGATAGTAAACCCGCTTGTAAGCTATATTCCACTAAAAATAAGCACAAAACAATTGTTGTGATGTTAGTACGACAATGCGATAACTACTCAGTGTTCAGCAGTCTTCGTTGGCCGTTATTGCACATTCCGACTGAGAAATGTCAATACACAAAAAATAGACAATCGTGTTACGATGCTTGACCCTGATTTCCTTCATTTCCTCGTTTGACTTCTATCTAGCCGGTGGGCCAACAGGTCTCACATGAGCGAACATCAAGAAACACCATTCTTGTCCAAATTCACAGACCACACCACAACATAGGCAACATGAACGAAGGCATAAGTGTGCGTTTCTCTCAGAACAAGCATCAGGAGGCGGCGTGCTTGATCTTCAAGGTTACCACACCACGCATAGTGGATTGTTTGCTCCGAAAGCAAGCATGCTCCAGAGCCCAACAGTAGTTTGGTGAATGTATGTGAACAATTAGAGGGCCTTGGGCCTCGTCAGCGTCCACTGTGCGCAGTCACGTGAATAAACTCAAAAAAGCAATCATAAGCATCAATTACAGTGAACCAGGTGGTGCACAGTCAATTCATCGGGTCCTGGGGCTGGAACATACTAAATGCTTCGCAATTGGAAAACGGTTTGAATTTCCAATCTCAACGTTCTGATGAAGTCACCTCGACTCACCCAGTCTAAAAGTTTGCAACCAAATTATGCAGCTCAATGGGTCTCTTAGCTGGGACGTTACGATTGAGGAATTCTGACTTTACTCAGTTAAGCTCAGATAAGAATAGACAGAATGGGGATTTATCATGAAGATGTGTTCTAGTACAAGAAATGAAAACCACTTAGAAGTTCACTAGTTGTTGTGCATTGCTAAGCTTCGTCAATCCGAACTGAAACAAATATGTTCTAACTAATGGAGCTGGGCGCGCTTCCTTGGCTGGATTTAAGTCTGAGATGAATCCTGTTGGGGCAGAATATTGCATGAGGAGTAATTACGAGTTTACAGTGAACCCTGTCCAGCGACAGGTTATTCACATTGTGGTGTCTTCTCTTGGAGGGCACATCAATCATCTGAGGAACCAGGGAGTATCTCTCCGTTTCTGGCGAGGGGTTATAATAGAAGAACTTCCGAGCCGCAAAACTGCCATTTCAAAGGGGTTTTCCGTATTACAGGGGTGTTACAGCAATATAGTAGCCGCTGAAAAGATTGCTGCAAAATTCTGTTTCGTCCAAGGGAGTGCCTCCGCAGAAGCGAGAGCAATTGTGTTCAGAATTCCAGACGAAGCGAGGAAAAATCAAACTGGGTTGAAGTGTGTACTCAATGTACGCAGAGTAAGATGGAAAACCGTTGTGCGTCACACAACGTTATTCCATGGTGGCTTCAAGTCTCTGTGTGTTGGAATTTTAGCAACATAACTCGGAAAAGTGCGTTTTTGCAGGATACAAGGAATACCATGGGTTAACGTCACATGAATCGGTTTTGATAACCACAAGCTTGAAGAAATTCAGCGGCTACAAACTTGGTTTATTTGTCCAATTTTTTATCATCATCAACCGCGTATTTGTCGTACAGAGGCTATAGCTGCCACCGTTTTGCTCACCAAATATTTAAGGAGATGGAATAGGTAGCTGAGCGTTAGAGGCGGCGGCTGATATAATTGACGCGTAAATGCAGGGTTGTCAGTGGACTTTTCATTGGGAAGATTGGGAGAGAAGCTATGCACTGAAGGCAATGGCAGCTCAGGAAACAGGCTTAAATCTGGCAAATACGGTCTGAGACCCGGGAAAGATTCGCAGATCAAGGTTTGTCATGCAACCCGAATGTAAGCTAATTTGAACAAAAACATGGCCAATTGGTCTCGAGGCTTCATTGATTGTCCTATCGTCAGGGCGAGCTCTTCAGCAGCCTTTCAGGAAGGGTGCACTGTATACACTTCGATCTGACTGAAACTGTTGCAGGATTACTATGACCATGTTGAAACTAGTGGGGATAAATCGAAACGGTTCATCTCATCGAAGCAACCGGGTATAGTAAAAACAAGCTGAAGTGACCAATGACGGAGATAGGACAAAAGCGGTTGTTCCGTCGAACACTGTAGATGGCGTTGTCCGACTTTCCTGCGAAAATCATGCATCTTACTGCAACAATTACGTCTGTAACCAAGCTATGGAGAGGAAACTATGTAGGTGAGGGCTGAAGATAAACTGGCCACAGCTGTTGCAACCGGGAAGAAGTGGTGCAGTCAATAAGCGTTATGAAAAGTGAAGAAGAGACCAATATAGAGGGGAAAAGTCACTTCAAGGGGGGGTTCCGTGCAAGAGGTCGGATCCAATACAGTGCTATTACTTACCACTCGGAGATAACGGTAAACACTACAAGATCAGTGAATCTCGAGGTAAACAGGATCATAAGACTTAACACAATTTCCAGTGAAGTCCTGTGTCTAAATTGTATTTGCTTCAGTTAAAAAAGTTTGTGCCAACCAACCACATTAGGCTGGGAGAATCGTATGAATGATTTTGCACACCCTTGAAGTTTTAGTATGCGTCACATCCATTGTTCACTTAGGGTTTCATACGCACAGCAGTGTTAGAATAAATGAAGATTAATGGTTGACGTGACCGATCGATTCATAAGACCACCAAACACCTGCGGACACAACAGTACATTCACGCTTAAGCTAATGTTCATATAAGCGCCCTTCACAATAAATCGACCAAGTATATGCCACGTCACCAGTAAGCTGTAGGTTTTTGCAAGTACTGACAAACGAGGTTTTGTATGATCCGTAGTGTGTTTCCGGCTTGACTACGTAGACACACCCGAGCGAACTAACGTTGGATTTGCAACAATCTGCGTTCGCCACTATCTCCGTAACAACTAATTAATGGGAACTCCGCAAAGGCAGGCTAATTACCAAAGTCCTCTGTTGTCGTTAATTAGTCTGGGTTTTTGTTCTGGAGACCGGCATATGAATGGATGTGTGCAAAGGGTCAACTTTCGCGATAGTGAAAAAATGGTCGGCATTTGGATGAGGCGACATTGTAACCGAATCAGAGTCCATCGGAGCGAATCAGTTGTAGGTTAGGGTGTCATTAAGTAGAGGTAAAAAACGATAAGAGACAAATACATACAGACTCTAATCAAGAGGCTATCCTCGGGACACGGGGAGAATGCTATCTATCTGGAGGCGGTCATCTAAACCGAACTTTGAGTAGTATGTCTGTTAGGTGCTGTTGACAAAATTCTCACAGTTCAAGCTAGCGAAATTCGGATGGTCTCCTGGTATCCTAGATAGAATAATTGGTGCACTTGATGAGATATTTTCACGTTAAGATCAAAAATGGCCACTCTGTACGCTACCTGTACAACTGAGCTGCAATCCCCATATTCTGACCAGGAAACCAACTCAGAACCAGGCAGCACTATAAACCTAAGGCATTCTACGGAGTAGAATCCAAAGTAGAGTAGGTTTTCATACCTTTACGAAGATCCTCAATCAGATGAAGTGTACAATTTTAGGAAACATCGTCCCAGAACTGTGCTACCTTTCCCAAGTTGGTTTACATTTTTCAATTATTTCAATGACGCTGGTGTCTCCCCTATTCGGTGTACTCACTAGTGGCGCGACGTTGGAGGAGCAAATCGAAACCGACCGAGAGACTGGAAAAATGTGAGCTGTGGTCCTATGTCTAGCGTATGATTAGTTGTAGCGCTCAGGTCCGTGGCATCGCGCTCGTCCTGGCCAAAGTTAGGCAGCACATAAGAATTCCAACTAGCGCTCAGGTCCGTGGCATCGCGCTCGTTCTGGCCAAAGTTAGGCAAGTTCAACAGCACATAAGAATTCCAAAAGCTTAGAAGTCTGAAAAGTCCAAAGGTCAAAAAGTGAGTTGCTGAACACGATGCAAATACAGCAAATTACCGAACCGAAGACCATGAAAAGATCAGACATAAAAAACGGAGCAGGCAGGTTAGGAGTAGTTTCCTTTCAAACTTTAATTCAGTTTACATTGAATCTAACGTGGTCGTTAGTGCATCTTAAACGCCCGAGACAGTTGTTTCTTACACTGTGACTATCCTCTGAAAACCAGCTTGCTCAAATCGTTGTTGTCTGAATGTCTAGTTTCAGGGCGTCGGTGATCTCACTATTGATTTTGACCAGTGAAAATGCATTCGCTTTAGGCCTGCCTGGAAATGACCGACCACGCGATCAGCATGCGACTACAGTACGACTCGACTCTGACCATCATTCAGGATGTCTGGCGTTGCCTCAGTGTGGTTCCCACTGTGATGTCACGTCGGTTTCTAGCACAGTGTATGGAGCAGACACCGCGGTCAAGAGCACGGCTGCAGAAAGTAGTAGTGCAATCAGATGAGCAGATGGAAACTGCACTCGGTACTTGTCTGAGGGTAGTTTTGATCCTCTGGTGCTAGGCTTGGGCAACCTGGCAGTATCTTAGCCCTCGTGCTTCCTCCGCGTGGCATGGCAGTTAGGCACCAGAAGGGCGCTACAGCCGAACGCTTTCTTTCTTTTCACGGCTGCAGAAAGTAGTAGTGCAATCAGATGAGCAGATGGAAACTGCACTCTGTACTTGTCTGAGGGTAGTTTTGATCCCCTGGTGGTCGTAGGCTTTCGTAAGCTGCAAATGGCAATTCCCAAAACGACAACTCGATCCGGTAATGATTTCATTATCCTCTAAATGCAGGTAAGCCCAACTACCTGCACGCACATCATTCGCATTCTAGTAGAGCTGTGAACGTGCGCGTATACCTTCCTTAGGTGAACCAAAATAACCGTAGCCCCGAATCTCTCAAATGCTTTGGTTGGCGCAACTGAAGCGAGCTTTAATTACTGGGAAACAGAGATTTGGTAAACGATCGATGGATTCATTGCTGGGCAACGTTTCGTTTTCTGACACAAAGGATTCGTCAAGCCAGGTGAGTAAGTTACCAGGCTGATCGGGTTTCGAGGCGGTCAGAGAACCAATCTGGGAGATTTCTCATGACTGACCGACTTGATCAGTGCCGGGTATCCATTTGCAGTTGTTTGTTGGTTAGGTAAGCTGATATGACAAGAGGCAGTGTGCAGCCATCAGAAAAATACTCTGGGTTTAATAGTACAAACTTCAAGTAGAGTAAGATCTACTTAAACACCTTCCAAACCCCAATCCGATTGCCTTGGCACCCTCGGACGAGCAGTTCCTTAACAGGACCATTCCATTAAGGTATCCTAGGCCGGAAATGCAAGGCCGCAAAATCCCGATTCAACGTGAAGACAATTCCCCAACCACCATCCCCACTAACCAACAAACAAGAACTTCAGACCGACACTAAGCACTGATAAAGTCGGCTAGCCGTTAGAAATCACAAGGATTGGTTCCCTAACTGTCTTATAACCCGACTAACCTAGTAACTTACTTTGCCTGACGAAGCTTTTGTCTCGAAAGCGAAACGTTGCCCAGGAATAAATCCATCGATTGTTTTCCAAACCCCTCTGAAACGATGATTACTCAATCGGTCGCAAACTTTCCTATTGATTGAAAATGCCTATCGCTGCCTACACAATGACACACAAGCAATGACAAACCGATCCGAATGGTGTCACTTCAGGTTAACTAACCGGATGAATTTTAACGGTGGCTGTCTAATCTTCTACCTCTAAACACACTCTAACATCAGCCTACATGATTGTGATAGTCTACCCCGCTGGTCCGACAAAAAAAGCGGTTGTCCAGTCAAGCTAGCATACAAGGAATTAAGGCAACCGGGAATGAAAGCAGCCTCGATGGAAGCGGGCTCAAAATTTACGTCTTATGTTCGGTATCACAGGTTGCAGCTAAGTTCCAGATAAAGAGAGGTAACATCATAGACTTAACATTGTTATGAAGGAAACCACGGAAGAATAACAATGCTGAAAGACTACGAATGCAGTTTGTTTTCTCAACGACACCGTTTCCCGGAATTGTTGTGTGGCTGCTTAACGTGATCAGCTCTCAGCGGCAAGCGCATGGGAGCGGCTGTACAGAAATTGAGAAACAAACTTCGATCAGCTTTCTAAATTGGGAACTATCTGAAATGGACTAAAGTAAAAAACAATACTGCTTATGACAGCTTCTGTGCAACCAAGACTGTGGCTCTCTCTCTCTTTCACACACTCACGCACACACACATACACATTGTCCCCTGATCGTTAAACTGGTTGGCACACACATTGTCCCCTGATCGTTAAATGGGTTGCTTGTTTAAGCACAACAATTCAGACGAGTTCAGCTTTCGCTGGTGGAGTAGTGGTGACACGCTTGATTGCCACATCAGGTGGCAGGAGCTGAAATCTCGGCACGACAAAAGACGTACACCGCTGGTGAGCAAAACTCGAATTATGGCCGACTAAACAAGACAGGGGACTGTTCGAACGACAGTAATATGGATACAGGCGAAGAAGGTTAGCGGGTGTTTTGCCATCTAGCAAAAAGTTTTCATGGCCAAAAGAGAAAATGAAATATAAAATAATCGCTCAGCTGTAATCCCTCAAGGTGCCTGGCTGCCACGCTACCTGAAGGAGTACGAGGGCTGGGATACTACCAGAATACCCAAGCCTAAACAGGAACAGTCGGAATGCAAATGTTGCGTTCGAACCAAGGACCTTCTGGTCAGCAAGTTCGTACCTTAACCACTGAGCTGCCTCGAACCAAAAGAGCAGTGTAACAGGCAACATCGTAACGGGGCGAACCGAGCACGGGTTGGCACAAAGAAGCGCAGTAACCACACTTGATCTCGGGAGTTCTAGTGGCCACGTACAGCAAGGTATATCGTTCAGTATTGATTTGAGAGACCACCAGAGTGCCAAGGTTGACTAAACAAACTCACAAAGACTAGCACAAATCTGGTATCACAAGGTCAACCAAGACACATTCACCAGGGAGGGACGTCTCTTGAACATGATAGAGGGGTGTTCTAATAAAGTGGTGGGTGAAACCACTGCGCGATGATTGCGGTTACATGACCCGCGTTCTGTTTGGCGAGAGGAGATTGGAGCACAGTAATTAACGGCTTTACGACTAGGTGTCTGAGAAAATCCGGTAGCAAGAACTCACCGAGCCTTGGCGTGTTTCTTCAAGCTTTCCATGATTTGTTTACCTACATGCAGGTAAAAGGGATGTCCAGTTGCACGATACAGAAAATAGGTAGACTCCGCGAGCTCCGGTCGTAACGGATAGAAAGGTAATGGACACGTTTCTGTAGAAATATCGTATCGCTCGGGGGATAGATTATGCACGCGCCATATGAAATAGTGTAAAGCATGCTGACAAACAGCCTCGGTTACATCCCCTGAAGTTACCTGGAAAGAGAGAGAGGAATGCCTGCAGCACACAGTACTCAACTAGTTGGATTATTGCTATCACCAACGCATGCAAAAAGACCCGAATGAGTACTTGCACGAGCAAGTAAGTGAATGAACTAATACTTCAACCGGTTACCCAGCCAGTATCCTACTCGTTTCGATCAATTACTCACCAATCGGGTCTTACCGCCAGATTGCACTAAAGCAAACTAAAATGGTTCGGAAGAATGCGAAAACTGACGTTCGCCGCTTCCCAGTTAAGGGAAATGATGGACATCAGGGACAATTACGAAAAATCATGGATATTGCACAACAGCACGTTCCAGTGCGGTCCTACCTAACGCCCGACACTTTAGTGGTTGAATCAGTAAGCTCAACATACATGTATCTTGATAATATCGAGCTTTACATGATATTGCACAACAGCACGTTCCAGTGCGGTCCTACCTAACACCCGACACTTTAGTGGTTGAGTCAGTAAGCTCAACATACATGTATCTTGATAATATCGAGCTTTACATAGACATTTTGTTCAGTATGTCAGTGATGTCTTAGTCAAATAAACCTGTATGGCCTAACAAACACCGGAAACCCATTTGCATGATACAGATCAGCATTTGCGTCAATGATGAGTTGCGAAAGCAAAACCAATAACGTTTATCATTCAACGCAAACCACACCAGGACGTGTATATTGTTCAAAATGGGTGATATTAATTCGAAAACCTTGAGGTAGACAACTGACCACAAGCAACCAGAACCTAGACAAAAGGCAGAATCTTCACTCCTTACCAGTAATCCGGGCCACATCGCCTGCAGTGAGTCAATCCAATAGTTTGACTTCCTGCCCGAATACATGTCCAAATTCCAGTAGACCGACGGCTGGCCATCGCTGGTTAGACAACTCGAACCATTCGTACGCAAATGATAGCGCAACGTGTGTAAAGCCTGTTCAAACATTGAGCCCATTTGCCTATCACCAAAGAGTACTGAGCTCTACAATCGCAAAGAGGCGAAAGGATGACGGGGGTGGCCCATACTCAAAGTGGATCTTGGAATCATGGAAAACCGAGTTCGTCAGGAACTATGATTGGTAGATACGAATGAAGCAATAGATAGAGACTTCACAGTAATTAAGTTCACACGCAATAGGTACAGTGGAGTTAAAACAATGAGCAGATAACCTCATTTTATAGCTAAACTTTCTGACAAACTACTACTTCAACGGTAGAAACAAATCCACTAAATGTAGCTCTTGAAAGAATGACTGTCCCATGCTTACTTGAGACTCACTGAATCAAAATCTAAATTTGACCTTCTAAATGTTTCTGATGACTTGGTTGGTTATTGCACGTGTTCAAGAGACCACAAGGTGGTTAAGTGGTATCAGCCGACAGACAGCAAGTGTACAGAGAACTGACAATATTGTCCCGAGCGTCCGTAAGTCGGGATGGTAGTCTAACCACCATAATATTACCATCAGAGTCAGTAACATCAGTGTTGACACTGATGTTTCACTGTCGTACGACCACAAAGTTTACCTAATTACGTTGGAAAACAAGAGAAAAGTGGATGAAAGAGGCTGCTGGTCTATCGCAAGCATTCTGAACTGCCTACACCTCCAACCGACCAATCAGTCTGGAAAAAACTGACAGTGCGAATGCCACTGACGTCAATCTAACGCAATTCCTTGAAACGTCTTCAGTCAAGCACAGGAGAGATCACGGGGACTCCATCCTAGAAGCGGACCGCACCGACAACATCCAAACACTTTGTAATATCTTTTGTACGCTTCCGCCAAATCATACGTTGTCCACCCCGAGGTTTGCACTATTCTGAATGGAGCATTAAGAACAGCACTCGTCTCGATAGACAATGTTTCGGCACCCGTACCACATGGCCAAGCCACCGCAGTTGACGGTACTGGATATTTTCCGCGATTGAAGTTTCTGCTGCACATCCAAATACCCGTTTTCTAGTTACCTCGCTACGACTTCGTTTTCGTCATCCGACACTAGCAACACTTCTGAGGCATAAGTGGTCAAAAACCTGAAGATGCGTCACACCATCGGCCCCCAGAGGGCATGTTTCGCAATCATAAACTAACACAACCCTTCTTGTAGTCTAGTGCATGCGATCCTTGAGATCCAGTGATATGCCTTTTTGACGCCACATGTGATCCAAACTGGCAAGTGTGATTCTGGTCTTTGTGACTCGTGCACTGACCTCATGAGATACACTTCCGTCAAAGCTAATACAACTACCGAGGTATGTGAAATCCTCCACTTTCCCTTGAATTGCAAGAGATATGTTCAGTGATTGCACGTTCCGAACCATGACCTAAAGATCTAAAGGAAACTTCCTTTAGGTCCATGAAACGTTCGATTATGCACTACCATGTGTAGCTATCTATCAAGAACGTACAGAAAAGGACAACAGATATCATACATCACTCAGTACTCATTTCACAAGCAAAAACCAATTTTCCATCAACGGAAGCCGAACGAGGACGCTGCTTTTTTATAAGAATTATCTAGGGTCACAGGGAAAGACCGAAATGACACCCATGTTGTTTGTCTGAACGTTTGATGAGAACAATAAAATAAGCCAAACAACTGGTTATTAGTTACCGCCAAGGATTACAAACCTTATGAAGGTACTCGTAGAAAGAGTCATGACCTGCACCGATTCCACTCATCCGATCTATCCAGTTTCCCGTGTTGACATCGATTGTGGCCCCTATAAATAGATAAGAATAATATACAAAAAATGTTCCGAAAACGTTTAAATATGTTGAGTATTGGCAAAATACGCTCATTTGCAAAGCAAACCCAACTTAATCTCAGTCAAACCTATCGTATATGTTATTGTATCTTTGAATGTGCTGTCTCGTGTTTCAGTAGGTTAGATATTCGAGATATGGTAGCAGATTTTCTAGGCGGAACACGTCACTCATAAGGTTGTTGAGGAGATTTCTCCAGCCTTATAAGTAGTGTGGACCGTCAAGGAAATATGATACGGCAGTGGGTTTTCTGGATCGGAAATCAGTTCAGCCCAGACGCAGTAGGGGCGAGATGGCTCAAGTGGTTAGAGCGCGAATTTACTGACCGGAAGGTCCGTGGTTCAAACCCGACCTCCGCCACTCGACTTCCCCTGTCTAGGCTTGGGCAACCTGACAGTATCCCAGCCCTCGTGCTTCCTTCGGGTGGCATGGCAGCTAGGCACCGAAAGGGCGCTACAGCTGAACGATTTATTATTATTTAGACGCAGCATGGTATACATAAAGATGGGGTGATAAATGTCAAGCTTGCTTTGGAAAAAGTAGGACTGACGCAACAAGGTAACCGAAGACATAATAAAAATATCTTCGTGAGGGTTATTTTATGTTGATATGAATAAGATTTCCCAGCTGACGAAAAACGGGTCGCTGTTAAGAAGTTATAAAAAAACAAATAAACGGATAACTGGATAGCACTTCAGCTTGTCGGCTACAAATAGTGTACCGAAAAGGAAATACTCACAAAGCGATGGCCCTACCCGTTCACTTATATTTGATTGTTTGTACATGGAGTCGGGAGTAAGATTGCCAGAAACCAGAAGGCATGACACTGAGTCTCGGCTGCTTGATCGTGCTACGCCTGTCAGTGTCGCTAACTAATGATGTGTCCAAACGAAATTTCACCGAAATTACTCCTACATCCCGTAGCTAAAACGTAGACTGACTGCATCTGGCTTGGTGCCAACCTGCACGCGGCTCCGGCGTGCGAAGCATAAGTCCTAAACTGGGTAATATATGGAATGGCCAGTTGGTCTGTGTTAGATGGGTTTCTTGTTCTGAAAGCATCTAATGAGTGACATTCTTGTCGATCTAATTCTCCCACCAAATCCCATAACTACTGCGTACCGAAAAACATTATACTGTGTTGACTTGTATGGAGTGTGAATCTGTACAAGGTGGTACACTGATGGACCACCCGATATCCATAGACATCACATACAGTCATAAGCAACTGCCCAAAAGCTCAACACATCTGAACCAAAGTTCCATTAATGAAGGTGTGAAGTAGCATGACGTAAAACAGTGTGTCCTTAATTGACTAACTTAAAGTGACAGCTACTTAACAAAGAGCAGAAAAGCCTGCTCATCGTCATCACTATTATCAGCCGCATGAACTGCGTACTTGTCGCACAGTGGTTATTGCTGCCACAGTTTCGTTCGCCGATTATTTGGGGCGGTAAGGTAAGTAGCTGCGCATTACAAGCGGGAGCTGATAAATTGGTGCGGACTGTTAAGTGGAGAGATTTGGAAGTGAGCTGTGCATTGAAGGCAATAGTTTGGATGCCTGCTGAATGCGGACAACATACAAACATCAGATACCGGAAGGCCAGAACCCCACATTCACTCAAACGGCCTTATCCTAGCACGAGTTTACACTGACAATACAACTCGCCCGACTCCACCCCCTCCCCCAAATAAAAAATCCTCAAGAAAACTTTTCAATATGATCCCCTTCAAGGGAACAACTCCAAAAAACTGAAAAACAAATTTTTGGTTCTCTAAGCGACTGTGTTCCACAATGTGAATGCTCTATGTCCTCGGCTTAGATATGTTTCTTATGTCAAACGGGTGACGCCATAGGCACCGCTCGTACATTACCCGCTAAAACAGAGGGCTGATCCTGACTGCACTGAATAGGAGTTGGCTGATAGCACGGCACCGTTTGCATACAAACAGCATCTTTTGCTGGAACAGACCGTTTCTATAAGGGTTTAGAAACAAAAGGCAGTGAAAATAACTCGGGAGTTTTTATCAAGTACCTAGTAACTATCCATTTTATATTAAAGTATCTCTTTGATGATGTTAGTTATATTACGCAAAACAGGGAAATTAAAAAAGCACATACAAATAAAACCACTGCAAGCGACTGACTGCATTGTACAGAACAACTTACCGAGTAGGCCTGTAACACTGGATCGACGACTCCATAGGTTTAAAACGACACGTCTGGAAATAGACGCGTAAGTTGGGTCATTTAGAAGTGCGCTCAGGCACCCAAATTCGAGCAGCAGAGATCCTGCGCCAGATAAACAAGTTTCCGACGTCGTATTGTCCCTGAGTCCAGGGCCCAAGTAGAACCGTGGGTAAGGAAGGTTTGTGGCCGAAGTCTGTCAATAATAATAAGGTGCAAAGCACGAGTGGTTGGTGAGTAGAATGTTCTAATAGAAAGTGTCAGTGGCAAGTGCGCAGAGAGACAGGACCTGGGTTTGTGCAGTTGTCAGTCGTATCGCGAAATCTAAACTACTGGTGGAAAGTATAACCCGAAGTGTACCTGTCGAGTGCTCGTGTTTATGGATATTGAGTGGTTGGAATGATCTAATCCTTTTTAGCACAACAGACGTTAAATCGTATCCGAATGAAAATGCGCTCAATAAAGAATGATGCCCTATTAATGTTTCCATCGGTAGCGAGAAAAGTGAATTGAACATGAACGAAAAATAAAATCCATAGGTTTCCCATGTTAAGGCGTTCCGATAATTTCATTAGACGTTTCAATAAAATTCCTGGTATGATTTAATGATTGATACTGTCCCAGTAGAAATTCAACGTTGATTCGATGACAAGGTGGTACAGCGGATTTTCGACCTCTGACATAGAACCCAGAGGGTTGTAGAAGCCTCGAGACATCATAACCCGACATCACATCAGCTCTAGATTTGTATCAAGAAAGATTGCTGCCGTCTAGGGAATTCCATCAGGATGTTTCTTTACAAAAAGTCACAAAGTCCTGATACGAAAAAGATATATTGAAGGATAGGATCATTTTGAAAGGATTTGCCTGATGTCATCCCTTTACTGCGTTCTTAATGTTCTCATGTCTGAACACTGAAATCCCATCAGAATAAAAAGTGAAAGATGGTTTGGAATTAAGCAGAAAATTAGTAATGATGGATGAAAGGTACTCTCACCCATACTGATAATCTAAATTCGACTGGTAATAAGACGGTGAGAAAAGTGGTTCCGCTTGGCGCCAATAAACAAGAAATGATTGCCTGCATTGTAAGCAAATGGATGGCCATGCAGCAATTTTACTACGGGACTGAGAAACTACCCTTCCGTCCACCGAAAATACATGGTTAAATAAAACCGGATGACCATATGTAAGACTGGTTTTGGCTATTGTGGGGAATGTTGGCAGTCCAGGTGGTATATATGGCTCGTGTTCTGTTCGCTGAGTGAGATGATATGGCTGCGGCAAACAAACTGCAACCAAATTACCAAGCCGTGATCGGATCATCAGCCTCCTACACAGTTTGGAAAGTGAAAACAATGAGGACATTCAGCTGTCCTCACAGTTGTATCTTGCAGTATGTGCAATCAAATTTAGGAAGCAACATGCACCCGATCCTGGGTCCACCACACCGAGAGCACCTAGATACTTTTTAACCTACTTCATTACCCTTTGTTAAATCATGCATTGCAGGCCTCTCCGTTTGCGCCATAAAAGAAAACTCACGTAAAAGACAAGTCGTCACACAGAGAGCGCGATTAAGTCACCACAGCCTTTGCTGCTTGATGCGTTGAGAGTCCGCTATAACACCAAACACGCTAAACGAGGTTTAATCCTGATACAGGACGACGATGAGACGACGATGGGACAAGTCAGGAGCACCTTCTGACGTTCTAAAGTCTTTTGATTGGTGTAGCAACTTTGTTGTCTGAGACAAGAAGAATATCTTCAAATGCTTTCTGAGTGAAGTGGTTCCCACCTGCTTATTACGGCTCCCCAATGATGCTTCAAAAGTACCAAGTAATTGGAGTCAACGGGCCACCGAAAAGAGGATCTTACGTCAAACGCATTCAACATACGGTTGGCAAGGTCATGTGCGAAGACCAGCAGCTCATCATCGTACCAAACTGGACGAAGATCGCCAAAAGGTTGCGAAGGATCCGTAATGAGTAGATGAGCGGAAAGTAGCCCACCAAGAATCCTGTACGAAATGATAGCGACAAAGTATAAATTACAAGATATAACAGGATACCGGATGGTTGCCTCAAATACTTGAACCCGCACTGCACGATCAAACGATAAATGCTTGATGACCAAGGCAACAGCCTTCTTGAATTGTTCGACATGACCCATTATCTAAAAAAGCAGTCAACAGTAGGCAAAGAAACCAACCGCTAACGTGTCTAGACTGTCGATTAGAGTCAGTTGGTAGTCACCTAGAGCATCGTTGATATTGAGGTTATCAGGATGTTCATGGTCATGACCACGACCTGTACAGTGAATTGGATCTAGTTCATCCGCCGGAAACGCGTGCTGCATGTAATGCCCATAGGCAAAGTTAAACATATTCCGGATCATATGTAGGGCGTATCGTCGGTCGAAAGACGACACAGACCGGAAATAATCAATCCAATCATAAGCAGATCCAAAATTTCGTTCGCATGCGCCAGAATGAAGGTGTGCGACGAGAAAGATGACTAGAACAGTCGTAGGAATGGAGCGGGTTTGCATGGAAAACACGCGTTCCCGCCCGCTAGCTGAAATTTGAAAAAGTTCCACTTTCGAATGGAATACGATGCTGCAAATATCAACCGGCAGTTGACCGAACACGAAAGAAAAAACGGTAGAGTTTAATAAGCATAAATCGGTATACAACGCTTAGTTCGAAACCTAATAGCTGGAAGATAAAGAAGAATCTGGTGACAGGAAAGAAAACCGGGCTGATGTATAAACGCCAAAAGATAGTCGAGAAATGAAAAGACCACATGCGACCACATGTGATAGTAATTAGCACCAGCTGTGAATCGTGCATATCATACAACATGGTAAAGGCTGCTACACATTCGTTCGCCGATAATCGAGGACTATGGAACTAGATAGGTAAGCAACGAAGGTGCAGTGATTCAGAAGTAGCAGCGGACGCATCACTGTTCCGCGAACGCTGTCATAGTGCCTGACGGCTTAAGAAGCTAAAGCAGCTTGCAAGTCAAGAAAGACCACCACTTGTGGTTTCCGGAAGCAGTGTCGCTGTTTCAGAACCTGTCGGAGGGTGAAAATATGGTCGAGTCACCCTCTTGCAGGACGTAACCCAGCATGGTTTTCATGGGTCTCTCTCCCAACCAACCTTCAAAAGATAAGACCAGAAAGGACCTTCGATTACAGGGCTAGCGGACCAATGCAACGGTGGTTTTCAAACAGCACCCATTTTGAAGATAGCAATGGCAGTCAGTGTACCTATTCTTCAGGCACTTCCTCATCGGTTCGTTCCGCATAGATGTGTTTTGTCAGATGAGTCACCAGGGATTGCTCGCCTTCTTTAAAGAAGGCTGGATACAAACCATCTGGGCCCGGTATATTATCATGCTTCGGTAGGGGCGTTTCGTATTTTATTTCCTCTGATAACAGCTAGGCACCGAAAGGGTGCTACAGATGAGAGATTAACAATGGGTGACCAAGTTTTGCACTCCATTTGCCCATATGCACTATCTCCAGAGGATGTGTAGCAGTAGGCCGGTTGAACTGTTCTTTGAACTATTCGATCCATCTTTCGGCGATCTCGAGAGTGAATTAACGAGCCGTCTTTTTGGTTGTCGTTTCACTAACCGTTGCTTGTCTGTGGCCGGTCGATCGCATCAACTGGTATACGGCACGGCTGTTTCCGGTGGCCCTGTTCATCTCCTGGGTTTTCGCTGGCCATCAAAGTTCTCGGTCTTTCCTTAGACCCGTCACTATTTGAGGTTTGAAGGAATAACAGGTGCGGTTGTACTTCCTGGTTACTTCCTGGTATGTTTCCGATCATCAATCAAGACTAACTGATCTTGACAATATCCAGTGGTCACTTGATCCTATCGGAGAAATCGAACAGATACTGCTGGACGCCGATAGCATAGCCCCTTTCAAATTTTGCCATAATCCATGTACGTGCTCCTAATTGCCATCATCGACAGCATAACATCGGTGATGCGTCACTGCCGTACAACCATGATTTATGTGAAAGCTTTCATTGTAGAGAAAAGAGTAAAAGTGGAGAGAAAGGGATTTAGTGTTAGCCTATCACAGGCATCCCGAGGTATTCACGTCTCCAGACACTCAAGCAATCTGAACAGAAAGACAAAAATACCATTGAAATCTATTAGCCACATCATGTAGCGTCTACAATCAGGCGCAATGGGAATCATGCAGACCCATCCTGGAAGGCGAGTAGCACCGGCAGCAACCGAAAGTTTCGTAATCTCTTTCATACTCCTTGCCATACCAAAGGTTGGCCACCTCTCTGCTTCCACTACTCTGAAATGGGCACGGAAAACAGCACAACCTTCGGCAAACGATGGTTCATCATAATCAACGCAGCTTCTGGTGCCGGATACGCTCTCCAATGGAAGTCCCCGTTGCGCAACCGAAAACTCGCCTCGTTACGGATTCGACAAAACCAGCCCACGTGGGCCATGATTATACAACAACCGTAGGCTGGACACCGGGAGACGTCTCAGTCCGGCTGATCGTACAGGCCAAGTCTTACAACCGTACAACAAAACAGCCCGTACTGTAGACTGATACACACGTCTCTTGATATTCAGGTATATGCTGCCGTAGGTGTCTCAAATTAGCGAAAGCGACCAGAGCCTAGCAGATTCGTACACCGACCTAACCTATCACACTAAATTCGGAACTCATTGATAGAGCGGTCAGGTCCTAACGAACGATTCGATCTTTTGAGATGACTCACTAAAATATCTTTTACTGTCTGCTGTTGCCAACTCAGCCGCAATGCTCTTTTTTCATTTGTTCAATCTTAGTGTAGTCCATCATCATCCAGTCTCCTGTATCTCCTTCGTCGGGATTCCCCACTAAATTTCTCAAACTATCAAATGCAGTAAAATACGTTTCATCAATCTCCTAAATCATCCATCTACCACACAGTTACAACACTAAAACTATTTCCAAGATACGTAAAGCACTCCAAAACCTCGAATGCCTCTACATGGATTGTAGATGGCATGTTCAGTGACTGCATGTTCACGAGCATGTCCTAACAATGTGTGGATGTAAAGCGCACGCTAAAGGACTGGATGACTGGTCAATTCATCCGAAAACACCTGCGCCTTCTCCTCTTCGAAGACGAGAACAGTGCCGTCTGCATATTCAAGGTCGACAAGATTTTTGTCGGTAGCTGCTTGGACACCAGAATTTTGAAGACCTTCCAGCGTTCCCCTCATTATCCCGCCGATCACGGAATTACAGAGAAATGTAGAGCGTGGGCATCCCTGACGGACACCACTTTGTGTACGGAAGCTCTTGGAGAGCTCGCCATGTACTCTCACGTGTCCGGAAATACGAAAATACATAAAACTTATAATGTCCACAAGAGTCCGGGGCATTCATTGTTGGACAAGCGTATCGAGGAGAACAGACCAGTCAAATGGGTCAAATCCTTCTCCATCAGTTATAACATCATCCCAGTCCTAGCTGCCAGACCACCCGAATGCGCTTCGAAAAACCAGGAATACTAGAACCATGGGTCGTTTATACGTAAGCCGTTATTCTAGCACCCGAATTTGTGAATATTCGGTCATAGCAACCCCTACAGGACACAAATCCTGCTAGCTGATCTCATCTCACTGTTTCACGAGCCACCATAAGAGGATCAAGGAGAATTGAAGCCAAGAGTCTCGTTACGACGGGGCCAAGCTGATCCCCTGTGATTACTGAACTCACTATAAACCTTTTTTTGAAAACTGGTACTATCACGGATTTTCCCGTTGTCTGAGACAGTCTCTTTTTCCCAAATGCATGCAGATGGATCAGCGAAAAGCTGACTGAGGACTTCACCACCATCTTTGGACAGTGGGTTAGAGGTCATCAGGACCAGGAATGTTCTGACCTTTGCATACACTATTAACTCGTACTTCCCACTTTATTTTCAGTTCATGTACTACCGTTATTAGGCGAGTAAAGCGTACATTACGTCCTTCTATTCAGTCTCCCTTCTAATCTCGCCCTGAGACTACTCGACTCTCGCAACAAAGAGCTCGGTAGCGCTTGAGATAACTTATGCCAGATGGAGTTATCAGTCTCGAATGACGGGCCTGAAAAGGGAGAGTTATTAATGGGGTGGAGACAGGAGGAGGAACACATATGTAGAGGAAGAAGGGAGACTGTTTTCTTTTACCCGCCCTGCTGTATGCAGCCGGCGAGTCGGTTGGTCACACCACTTGACGGCTGGAACTCAGTTCCACAAGGTCCAACCATCTCAGAATGGCCAAACGGGAACGGTCAGACCAAGAGAAGCTAGACGTACTACGAGTAATCGTGCTACGAGGCGGGTTGGGGTAAGGTCGCAGTCGACAAACATTCCCGTACTCATGGAAGCAGATATTGCCCTACCCCGAGGAAGGACGGATTAAAAAGTCGACCCTAAAAACTGCACACTCAGACCACCCAACGGCTGACTTTTAAAACCAAAACGTCCGGTGCTACTCACAAGGCACATGCTGTACGCAACCGCATTCGGATTGGGACAGTCCATTGGTCAATACGCCCTCCGGTCAGGCCAGCCTCCTCAACTAAGTGGGTCAGAGTATTGAGTCATCGGTTTTGAAAAAAGCTTCTCAAGAAAACCATACTGCCTCGCGGTTCAGGCCTTTAAGTCAGAGGCTAGGGGCAGGGTCCCCGAACAAAGCCCTACACACTTTCACTGCCTTATGGATCAGACTTGAGTCAAAGGTTCAAGGCGGGGTACCCCGACCAAACTCTTTTTTCAGCTTGGGCAACGGAAAGTAGCATTCACCCTTACAGCTCTTCGCTCGCCAGTCATCCCTCACACCCCGTCCTCACCCATAATGATGCAGTGCAATAAACCCGTCTGCCAGTCCCCTAGCCATTGTTCCGTGTATAAACGATCGCCCAAAAAATAAACCAAAATAATAACCTTCTAGCCTCAAAATATCTGGTCCACGATGCAGCCTTCTGTGTCCGCACACTCTTCGGGAAACTGGTGATCTTAACGCAATGGTTTGTTGTACCTATTGTGTGGGTGTTGAACTCAGCCTCTAGGCCGAAAGCGTCTTACTGGCTTGGAGCCCAATAAAAAGTCGTTCTTCCACTGTGCAACTGTCTGGCTCAATAAGGATAAATGCAGGTCAATGTGCTAAGTGGTGCTTATTTATCGTATCAGTATACACCTCAACAGACTGTAGTTTTGACACTGAGAAGGACGGACATCATCATCAGCTCAATAAGGATAAATGCAGGTCAATGTGTTAAGTGGTGCTTATTTGTCGTATCAGTATACACCTCAACAGACTGCAGTTTTGATACTGAGAAGGACGGACATCATCATCGACAGCATGATATGTGTTCAGTTCTAATGCGCCGCTGTCGTAAAGTAATTCTGGATCGTTACATGCGTGCCAAAGTTGGACGACTAAGCCCGGAAGAGGCACCGTTAGGTGGCAGATTTGGAGTAGATGTTCACACAGTTAGGTGGCAGATTTGGAGTCGATGTTCAAAAAAATGTTCAGCTTACGGACAATGGGAAGCGACTACTTCAATTATATGCTGATCACCGCCTGTTTCTGGCCAGTACAAACTTCCAACACAAACGCTCACATCGAGTTAACTGCAGACCATCAAACTCAAGACCGTCATGGAATTAACTGAATCATGTGGCTATCAGTTACTGATGGAGAGCGTCAAATGAAGACTGTCATTTCTTCAGGCGTAAGCAACTTGATTCCAATCATACCAATGTGCGACCCCGATCATCACTTCGCTTCCCATCCGCATTATATGTGCCAAAGCAGGGCAGTTTCACTCATTCACGTTGAAGAGCAAAAACAATCAATTGAGTCAAATGCAATTACGGTGCATAGCTGCCATATCACCTAGGAGCGCGAGGGCTGGGATACTATCAAATTTTCCGAGCCTGTACAGTCCAATTCACTGACTGCAAACCGTACACCAAAAGTGGGTTAGTTCCAAAAGCGTCAACGGTTTCGGTTACAGGAGGGCGTGGAAGATAGAGGTAAGCGTTGAGGGCGATGGTATGATCCGTCAGTCCGTTTTGTGTACTGCTTTCATGGAACGCGAAACTGGGCAGCAACTCTTTCAAGGCGATAGAGATGAAGCACAGGCGCCACTAACTGTGAGAATGAGCCATGTCTTTGATGAGTTGAGTTCGGGGATTTCCATCCAGGGAGGGTGGCAGCTGAGTTTACCAGCTAGTATTTCTATGCACCGTAGGTAGGTCATAAGCTGTCCCCCTTCAGGCTGATTTCAGTCACAACAGGGCTAGATTGTAGGGCAGACGGTCCCCCGGCATGCGAAGTACATGTCCCAACCTATGAAGCGTGAGGAGCTCATTAACTGCGGAAGCGTTCCTTTTCCTTAAAATCATCTGGTGTAGTTCAGCATTGCAAACCCGATTCTTTACAAGAACCTGACGCTGGTAATGCTTCGGAGACGCCGATGGTCAAGCATGGACTGCCTTTGTACGTTCTCTGGGCGTAGAGGCCAATTTTCGTATCAAATCAGCCCAAAGAATAG